CCGGTCAAATGCAAAAGCTTTCCATACAAGTACTTGATTTCGATTCTTCTGTAGCYATGTGCTATAGTGAGCAGCTTCTTGGTGAGAAATATATGGAATGAGAAATTAGTTGACTATACAGACAGACGTACGGACAGACAAGGCTAAATGGACTCAGCTCATCTCGCTTATCGTTTTTATATAATCTATATGACCTCTTTYTTGGGGTATTATAAACATCGTGGCAAGTTTAATCTACCTACCTTGATCAGGATATCAACTCTTTAGCAGGGACATGCACCAAGGGTGTCTCAGATGAATTCCAATAAGAGTTATGTGATATCTTGTTAATGAAAATCAAATGTTTTTTATTCAGTGTAAGTTTCCTGAATATATTATCGCTCAAATGGTATCCTAAAAGTATCGTTATCGSTTTCAAGTTGTTCCTAGACATGGSTTCAGTTTTTGAGTGAATAATTTAACTAATTAAAATAAACGGTTGCAAACACAAATCTTTTCTCAAAATCCGCCAGGTTGTGGTTTTAGACTGTCTCAATACTTGAGAACCTTTTGGAATCTAAAAACTTCGGTCTTCAGCAACACTTGCCTAAACGTCACCAATAGTCAAGAGTTCCACTATTCGTCGAAGCACCGGTGGCAAAATAGCAAAAATGCACAAAATATATAAAAGCTAATCTTTGAAATTTTAAAATTAATAGGATATTAATTATTGGAAAACAGAAAACTAACTTTATGCAAATTAGTGTATAAATAACGTGTTTTTAATTGAATAATATTAATATTTTGTTCATTAGTGAAATGCTCGCGCACACCGTTAAATGCATGTATCACGAAGGCTATGCAATTTTTGTTGGATTTTCGCGCATAAAGACGCTCCGCACTGATTTCATAATCCATCCGTTCATATAATTAATTTGCAAATTTTCAACCAAATTCYAGCGAAGTGGAATGGCAGCACTACGCATACATTTGTTTCACATTGAACATTTTACATAATGAAAATCTTTAATACGCTTACTAAGCGTGCCTAAATCCCGGTTGGTTGTGYGTGTGGTGGCCGCGGTTGCGGCATTAGTTCCAACATTAGTGCACCATTAAAATTTAAAATATTTAATTAAAATCAAAAAGATCACCCAACGGTTATGTGGGAAGTCGACCGTTGCACACAATACCACACACGCACGCAAGCACACAGGCACCGACACTCACAGTACTGAAACACTGCCTTAGTTGAGCGTTGTTGTTAATATGAAAAATTGCTATCTAAGCGGTGGTTGGCATAGCTGTGCAGGTATACATGCTAATATGATGAAATTGTTGCATAATATTCGCGTACTTGATGCAAAATTTTTATATATAATTAAACGAGTATTTATATGGAAACCTGCAGGAAAACCGAAATAGTTGKCAAGATAAATATGAATGCAATATTTGTGCAGCTGCCCACTTTAGCGTTACGTATACGCCGTGACATGCTAACGCTGATTAGCGCTTACTGATATAACACATCGAAAATAACCGACTTTTGGGCAACTAAATGCGATTGTATAAAMATTTTATTAAACTAACTCACATTCTAACAAAAGATGCTATCGCTACTGACTGGTATTAATTTGAGTGCTTATAACTCTGAAGGATTGCGTGTTAGTTATAAAATTAATTAAATATCAACTGTGTTGCCGATTTCAGATAGCTGCCAAATTTGTTTGGCAACAAGCAAAACGCAGCCAAATGACAACAGTAGTCAAAACGGATGAAGTAGCTGAGTAGCTAAAGAAGAAACTATATAATTATACTATTTCCATAAAATCTCTGTAAGCTTACCTCTACAAATTACTTAATTGAAGGGTTAAAAAAAATCTATTGCGAAGTGTGTGAAAAAATTATATTTCATTAGAAATGCTAATGTCTATATAAAAACAGAATTCATTAAAAATTTATATTCACCATAACAAAAAGTGCCACGTAACTAAAAAAAAACAAAAAAAACACAATATTGCATTTAGTGCGATAATCATTGCTGAGTTATAAAATCGTTTAAATTTCATACAACTTATGGTTTCAAACGTTCGAGGCTTCGTGAATGTGCATTTTGTGATTTGGTTGCTTCTATTCACATTACTTATTTATATTTAACTGTGTAACTGTAAAGCAACGAAAGTTCTTTTTTAATTATAGTTTGACATTTTGCTCTTCGCATTTCCGTTAATCCTTGCATTTATTAAACAAACAGCAAATGGCAAGCATAAATAGTGATTATGACGAAGTTGGCAGCCGACAGACAAGTGCATGTTTGCGCTCCGTTCAATCGAACAACATTGAATAGCAACGGAAGTCTTACGCTCGACCTTAAATAAATAACAAACAACATGTTAAAAGGCACTGACGTCTGCAGTGTTGCTTTGACATTCCCTAGTAGACATTTGTACTACATATTGTCAAATATAAATATCTGAGAATGCTTTATTAATTTCACAGCTTGCTGATATAATTGGTGTTTATATCAAATACTAAACAAAGAAGCAAATACTACTGTGGGCAAAAATTAGTAAGACCTTTTTTTTTTTAATTTCCCATGAAACACCGTTCGTCACGATATTTTTTTTTTTTTTTGTGGGTTTGGTGACTGAAAAATATCACATCAAAACAATCATTAGTGGTTTGTATACACTTGGCTTTCTGAAGCACATAAAGTGTATTCAGCAATTTTTACATTAAGTGAAATTAAAAAAAAAAACGATGAGTAAAAATGTTAGCTGTGTAAATAGTTCACAAATGTTGCTTTTACAACGTGTACGTTTCCAATTTCAAGAACATTGTAAAATGAAATTTTATTTGTTATTCTCAATGAAAAATACATAAATTCGCAGAATTTACAATTCACTTATTTATTAATTTAATATTAGCAATTAATGCGAACTGCAAAGAATGTATATTTTACGCTCCGAAAGCATTATATTGGTTTGTTTAATGTAGATGAGAAACTTGAGCATATATTCTGATTACTTAATTTCATGTCATTAAAAATAATGCAAGGCGAAGGCGTAACTAATGCTTATGTTACTCATTACACTGTGGCCAACGGTGTAGTGCATAAAATATGTAGTATGTGTAACGTATGATCCCGCATTTGAACTTTCCAGCTGCCTATACAAAAATACTGTCTACTCTTTCTCATAAAGGCATTTCTCATCCGCCATGGCGCACAAAATGGAATTGTAAACTAATGGCATAATTTATTTAACTTGCTCAAAGCTGTTCTATCAAACATCTCTAAATTGCTATAGACACCTGCATATAGGATAAATTCACTCTTTACTTACAATACAATTCAATGGTGATATTGGTGGAGACATATTTCTTGTGAAAGTTACTCGCTTGACACGTGAACACAGCATGTTGGTGTATGCGTGACAAATTCTTCACCAACAATCTGCTCTTAATGGTGTCATCTGCTGTGAAATCCACAACACTATTCTGAATGTGACCATTCCAGAGCCAAGTCACCGTAGGCGGTGGTGAGCCTGCAAGTTAGAAATGAAAAATAAAATACATAAATTTGAGAAATTTTCCTTCAAATAAAATAATGTGTATACCAAATGTTATAAATATTTATTATAGTAAGGATAGCAGTGCCTAGTATGTAATGTGTTGCTGCTATAAATATATATTTCATATCTGTCTCACTAAATACCATTTATGCCAAACTATTAAAGCTACATATCTCACATTTTTGCTCACGACACAAATTATATAAATGTGATTTATGCTACCGGTTGTCTACAATCGGGCACATCAAGATTATTTATGTTTATTTGAAATGTTCTTGTTGTTTTAGGTCAATTAAGCTTGACTCCATTAGCAGTGATAAACCATTTGGAAGGTAATTGTTTGTTGTGAAGACTGTTTTCTAAGCGCTTACGTGCAAATAGTGAGGATTGGTTTATGTGTGGATAAGTGTTTGGTTATTTCGTTTTTAAATTCAATTTAAGAAATTTATAAAAATTAAAATTTAGGGTAAACTTTCTTTGGATTAGTATGAGATAGACGCATGAAAATGTTAAAACTCCAAAAGAAGCTTTACAGTCGCTGTTTGAGAATAACAATAACATAGATTGTACCGAAACTATAACAACCCTCACAAATTTTTGTGAATRTATCTGGTCAAATGAAAATATTTTCCATWCAAGCGCTTTATTTCGAACGTGCAGTTTATATGGCAGCTATTGCTATAGCGGCCCGATATTGCCGTTCTCATATATTTTTCTTTGTGGGAATAGAAATTTTTGTATCAAGTATGCCAAYTTAAATATTTTTCTTAGCTATAAACGCAGCATTTATTTTTGGAAGTAAATTTAAGATGTTGCTCATATGGTATACAAGACAAGCAAACATTCGGAAAATTATATTTAAATATAATCGTATTTCATAAGAAATGCTATCGCTTCTCTAAATCACTCCTTCAACATAAGGACTTTTTGCAGCCGTTATTTTCGCAAACCCACAGTGTCAACTAGTTATTGCCGTACAAAAAACAGCGAATATGTCAAAATTATTAGAAATGCAAAATTTTCACCACTTAAGTTTTTTCTACTCTGCGCTCGGTATTTTCTCCTTTGCCAGAAATGTGCACATCCATTAAGGAAATTGCATTTTATTTATATTTTGGAACTTGGAGTAATCGCTYTACAAAGTGCAATCAAAAAATATACAAATGACAAAATGGAGCAAAAACTGTACGCTTGGCGGGAAAATGAGTACAACTTAGGGACAAATGAGCTTCACACGAAGAATCGGCGCAGTGAAGTGACGGAGGATTCGGCATAAAAGTTGTGCTGTAAATAAGCGCACTCATACCAGCGAASGCAAGTAGAATTTCTATACTCGTTAAGGTATAAGAATTTATGTCATATTACAAGCAACATACCTATGTCGGCTGGTATTTGCGATGACTTTTCCATTGGCAGACAGTTTGCTGCAGCGGCCAAGTAGCCTCCTTAGAGGAAATATTTTATGAAAAAACGTGAAAAAGGCAGACAAACTAAGTAGAAGCAGAAAGCCAATTTTGTGTCGAGTGAAAAAATGGTCTATAACATAAAGYACAAACAATAACAGCAACAACAATTTGACTGGCAAACAGTAAGAGCTGGCTATAACAATAAACCGAAATGGYGGGGTAGTGTTGATGAACCCAAATAAAATACACCTACCAGCAACAAGAAGCCTGGCGGGCAGTTACGCTTCAAGTAGGAAGTGCGAAGCTAACGGTTAGTGCTCGATGGAACCAGGAAAGAAAGCAAACGGAGTTRGTAAATACATTTTCAGCCAAATGGCATACATTGGCAACCTTTAAKCAGAACAAACACACACCAAACACACACATGCAGAAGGATTGGCAAAAGCTAAGGATTCTACGCGATTTGACTGGCTTGTTAAAGCGCTGCCTGGCCGCTCTTGATGTGGCCKGGACGCCAACGACAAATTACCATCATATGCGGCTTAAGCGCTCACCGAAAAGTCGCCAAAATTACGAGTGCAACATATATAAAGAGTGGCATAAAATGAAATTGCGAAGCCATTGGCTCCTATGCGAGCGCAGGGCTCGGTGTGTATGAAAGAGAGTGTGACCAAACGAAACAGAAATGACGACTGCTTCAACGGTAGTGCGAAATGTCAATAATTCGTGGCTCTGTCGTTGACTTTTCCACAGTCAGTTGAAAATTCGCTTTTGAAAGACAAATGATAAGGTTTGGGATATACCACGCCAACTGAAAGGAGAAAGGAAGAACGAATTGATTGCAAAGCTGGGTAGTTAAATGCTGCCGTCGTTTGGCACGTGACTTATATTTAATAAATAAGAATTTAAGAAAAAGTCGAATCTGGTACTAAGAAGATTCTACGGATATTGATTTTATTTAGACAAAATCTCAATCCGCTTAAAATTCAATATCCCTGATTTCGTGACTTTATTTATCGTAGTATAATATTTCAAACTACACTAAATTTTTTTACGGCGTATTAATAATATTTTTCCCCATACTTTGGTGTATTTGCCACTGATTATTCAATTTTAGTTGTATAGATGAACCCAAACGTCTAAAAATCACAATGAACATATTCATTTTTCACTAACGGAATACAAAATTGCGTAACAAATTAGTTTCAGTTAAGCTTATTAGCCTTAAAATGAAATTTTTCTATATCAAGATAATTGTTTGGGGATAGGTATGGTAACTAATTTATAAAATTCGCTTTAAGGAATTGATAAGAAAATTAATTAAATTTGGGAATATAAAACGATTAAAAAATTTACTTTACGGGACCACACCTTTAATATCTGATCGCTTATTGCCTTACGGAATCCATAAAAYTTCAGGTAAGATGATGCGAAATCTGAACTATTTGAAAAATCAAATATTGTTAAAAATTTTTAAAATGGTMAAGCCGTCCATTCTACAATTTACATAACGATAACAGTAAAACTATTTATCTATAAATTAAGCCAAGTAGCCAATAGCTATTCTATGGTGACTGTAGCGCTACTTGTAAATATATACTTTGTGTACTTATATATTTGCTTACACGAGGGTGTATTTTATTGCCAAATTGCATGTCACCGAAAATGCAATCTAGAAACCCACTATAACGCACCGACTTGCCTGAGGGYCTGTTGACGCGACTAGCTGGACGCTTTCAAGCAATTCAGTGCAATAATTTCACTCTCCTTCAACACCACCAAGCACGTTTGTTTCGCAATCTACACACCGCCAACAAATGCTGCGCAACTTGCCACAAGCGTTACCGTTGAAACTGTTATGGCTTTCGGTGTTATAWGGTACCCTGTGCGTTTGGTAAGCATGTGCTTTTATCGCACGCTTGCTTTGTTATTGCCAAAGTTGTTGTTATTTTTACAGTTTTAGCTTTTGTTGCACAATTGTGCAAACAATTTGTTTCGCCTGCTCCACTGACCTACTTCGGCCGTCTGTGCACATATWCGTTTGTGTTTGCGAAGTCGGCATAGGGTCGGGTGTCTTCTTCTATGTTTACGGCATAGTTTTAGGCGCATATTGGCGTTAACTTGATTGCRAGCAGTAGTAACATGAAGTGCAGCTTTGTGTGTGTGTGTGTGTGTATKTGTAACACTCTTATGAGTGAAGTGCAGCAAGATGTTAGCTGTGCTGAAGCGAAGGTGCGTGGCAGCGTCGTTTTACAAAAGCTTCTTTAGCCTATAGTTAGGCATTGAAATTTSAAAACTGCTAATCACAGTGAGTCAGAATTGGTGCGAAATGTCTTGTTGCGTAGCGACCGAAAGGGAATTCGGCATATGAAAATACCGGATTCGCAATTTTAAAGGCTGCAGAAAATACTACGTAGATACCGTTAATAACCTAAATTATAGCGCAAATTATTAAAGTATATGCATTTTTCGGAAACTATACAAATTTATAACTGTAACATGACTATTTTTATATTTTTTGCTTATTAAAATAAATGCTTTATGAGCCCAGTAAGCAGCTGAGTACATAATAAAATAGTTCTTACTTTACAACTTAATGTGGCTCAGTTAATATAATGTAGGATACAGGACATATTCATATATACACATAATATGTATATTTAATAATCAACCATATTATGCGTTACTCAGAAATAAACAGAATTTTGCTCGTACTCATAATAATAGTAAGGGTATATTATTTACTATGCACATGCATATTAATTCTGTTTAAGTGGCCTTTTTAAGTGCCACTAACATTTTTATAGGAAATGTCTTTATTGCGAACTTTATCGGACACATGTAGCGTACACAAGCCAGTTCGCATAAGTAAATGAACTCTCATGTTATAATTTATATATATATATAATATATGACTTCAATACAGACGCTCTTTGAAATACAGGGTTTACCAAAAGGAATATGTAGAAAAGCCAAATGTTGCTATTTACAACTGAAGTACAACCGAAGCAATTAGTTCTGAATATAACGTCGTTAATATTATCTCTACGACTTCTTTTTTCGGAACGGTTTAGATGAGCCACATAGCGAAAAGAAGAAACGACTGGCGCGCGGTTGTTAACTCGGCTATAATCGCGTATGCGGTGACTACGCCAATCAAGAAGAAGAAGATAAGCCCAATTTTCAAGTACTTTTCCACTAAATTCAGACATATACCATGAACCTTTACCTTTACATATACCTTTTTCCACTAAATTAAGACATATACCATGAATAGAACATTCAGTATTGACTTCTAAAGCTTGAAGTGAGTCTGAATTATTGCTAAAGACCAACCATTTCAAATAACCCCACAAGAAGTAGTCTAAAGACGTTAAATCAGAACTTATTGAAGCCATTCAATGTCAAATTTTTCTGAAATAATCGAATCTCAAAATTTTGAACGCAATAATTCGGTGGTTGCATGTGCTGTATGGCTCGTAAGTTAGAACCAGCATCGAGCTATACWGTTTTCCATTGACAATAATGCTTATTTCAAAAGAAGTACGAACCGATGATTCTACTAAACCAACAATCCCAACAAACTGTCTAATTAAGGTAAATGTATTGGCTGTTCATGAATAATTCGTGGATTTTTTTCGCACCAGAATCGCCAATTTTGTTTATTTACCGCATTCTGATGAAAGAGAGCCCTAACGGAGAAGATGATTTTCGTAAAAAAATCGTTATCATTTTCAAGTTGTTCCAAAGCAAATTAGTAAATTCACGATGATTTAGGTGATCTAGTGGCTTCAGTTCTTGAGTGAGAACAATTTTATGCGGTTGCAAGCCGAAATTCTTTCTTAARACCCGCCAGACTAAACCCCTTATTTCATACCACTAGCAGCACTATAACACTTTCTATATGCAAACGTATCTACATTTATTTCAACACGCAAGAATAACTGAAAATTAMCTTAGTTTAATTACTTTTGTCGTTTTATGCGATAACTAACTAAATTTCATGGAAAGAACGTGTAAACGGGTTATTAGCTACCGCATGAATGCYTATATGCTACCATGCTTAACTGTATTCGTGTTGGGCGAACATATAAGCACTCACTCACTTTCATGTGTGAATGTGAAAACAATAGCCCTGAAGGATATTTCTTAATATGGGAAAATATTATAAACGCTGAAGTGGTCTGCGTTCATTGCATATGGATCGAAGGTATCACTAGTTGCTGTGAAAGCTTTAAGCTAGTGCCGCAAATTGTCAGCAGCATGAAGTTTCCAACTTTTTGGTTTCTTCAGTAGCTATACTGTATATTTGTCATGGCGTATGAGCAACTATTATCAAATATCTCTTTAGTTTCATATATTGTGCCTAAAAACTGGAATTACAGCAAGACTTCATTGCAGGAAATTTAAAAATCTTTAGCACTGATAGAATCGAAATTGACGCTCTTGCAATAAGATGCACGTTATTTGAAGCTAAGCTTTTCTRAGTAGTAGTAGTATTTTCAAAATCACATCGCGTATATCGCCAGAATTTCTTATTGGGATCTTCGAGACATTTGTAAAATTGGCCACAACAACTGTGCTAAATTTGATTTATGTCAACGTTGACATACGTTAGACTATTCATTGGCGCTTATGTTTCCGTTCGCCGGCAGTATTTGTACAACTGAAACTGACAATGCCAAGTCAGAAGTAATATTTTGGTAAGGCACTTGAGGTTTGTTGGTTGCTGCAGTAGCTAAACTAGCCACTTACACAAGTTTTTATATTACTACAGCGAATATATTTCTAACGCAGGTGTTTAGTTAAGTTCAATTTTTTTTTTTTGTTTGTTTATTACCATAAACTGTTTTTTTTTTTTAAATATTTTACTTATTCATATTATAATTTTTGATATCATCAGCACATCATAATAGAAAGCATTTGACAACCGAGGCAAAATCACGTACTCTATGGAAGAAACTTTCCCCGAAATTGGGCAAAAAAATATTAGAAAAGTTAATTTGAAGTGGGCAGCCTAGGTCATCTTTTCTGTCGTATGATACAAATAGTAATTTTTTGACAATTCCTAGGTGCTTATACCAAGTAAACTTTCGGCTCCTCCAATATGTCAGTGCTACTTATAAGCGTTACCAGATCACAGCGTTGTGGTCTTCGACGTGTGCTTCATCGTTCCACGGCTGGTAGAGGTAGGTATTTACTCGTTTTCAAAACCTTTCTAACTAAATGCGTTAATATGAAATGTGGGCTTCCTGTATACTGAACGTGGGTAATGCCTGACCAAACACCACTTAAAAACATATAAAATACACCTGCATTAAAGTTCTTCACTCGAGTGTATACTTGTAGACGTGTGCCTTTATAAATATTGTGGCGATCTGAGTTTGCGATAACTAAGCGAATTTATAGCTAAGTAGTTCATSTTGACTATCGTCAAAACCGTTGATTGCTTTAGCCATGCGGTTGCAGCTTTAAGGCGGCAACTTCATATTACTTCGAACATATAACAAGAAAAGCAGTTAAATTAARCGCGGCGAACACATTTGTAATTCTAAACATTTGCAAAAATCTACAATTCTACTATACAAATTTTAATACATTTTTTTCTGTCGCAGTCCATTAGTTTGCTTAKCTTGTGAGAACTCTATGTACTTATATCTTGATGCGTCTTTCAAAAATTTATTTAACATTTTCTATGAATTTATAGTTCTATTAGTGCTTCTACGAAAATTCCGAGAGAAGTTTGCTCTTCTAACAAGCGATTCTTAAAACTTAAGAGCTCAACCTAAAGGCATATGTTTAAGTTTTTGTTGGTTTGAACAATTCATCTCACTACTAAATAGCGAACATTTTTGTGCATTTCTAGCGCCACARTGTATGTACTCGAAAAGCCCAGCGCGTAAAGCGAAATGTCAAGTACAAATAACTTTCACACTCTTGTTAAATCGTGGAAATTTTTGCCTGCAGTATTTTGAAAGGGTTTACTGTGGAACATACCGCCGTACACCACACATGTCAGATCCAGTTGACCGCCTTCCTCATACGGACCGGCGCGCGTATCCGACCTGCCATCCGAATTACTCACAATCGCCGGCTGCTGTGGTGGAACTGAAATGGAAATCAAAAAATAAATTATGAGTGGCGATTACTAATTAAATGGACGTGTGAAAGCGTTAAAAAAATTGTGCAAAAATCATTACAAAAAACAGCTTTGAAAAAGGTGTGATTAATTTGCTTTTGTGGTACATTTTTTTCAACTATTTAATATTATTTTACAATAATTAATTATGAGCTATGGATTTTTTTTTTTGTTTTTTTTTTCTTTCTTTTTTTGATATTTAACCATTTTTATTCGTATCAAAAAAATGGGTAGCAATATAACAATTGATAATGCCAAAAAAAATTCGAAATAAAATATTTAATTTTTTAATAATTTTGAACTAAATTTCGTGGTTAACCTTCTCATCTATGTGTGTATTATTTTTTGGGCGAAACTTACCGACAACTTCCAAGTTAACATTACTATTTCTAGTTTGCGAGAGTTTGAAGTCCACTCTGCAACGAAAATTCCCTGCATCTTTTTCCTGAAAAAGGAGATGGAAAAATGTATAGAAAGTGGTACACATGTTGCTTCTCTGAACTGCTTCATTTACAAAAGCTTCTCAGAAAAACTTTGATCGTACACGTTGCTACGTTGTCTTGGACAATAACCCATAGATGCCAATAAAGACAATGAAAAATTTTTCCACATAAGCACTTTATTTCGATCGCTCTCTAGATGTGTATAAGAGAGCCAATAAAGACAATGAAAAATTTTTCCACATAAGCACTTTATTTCGATCGCTCAGCTTGTATGACAGCTATATACTATAAATATCTGACCTGAACAAAGTCTTCGGAGATTTTTTCATTACTTTCGACTATAACCCATGTCAAACTTTTTGAAGATATCTCGTCAAATGGAAAATTTTTTCATACAAGTACTTGATTCCGACAGTTTAGTTTGTTTGTGGACCGATATCGCCCTATCCAACAATGAAAGAGTGTTATTAGATACTTCGGTATAATTACAGAGTAACTATTTAAAAATGTTCTCCAAGAGATAAATTGTATATACTCAAACTTTAAGATAATTATGGGTTATTTTTTGTAGCCCAATAAACCTTTAGAATTTTTTGAGTTTGCACGAATAAAGTTCCCAATATTTTGACTTTATTGTTTGTCTCTAATATCACATCCTATGGTYATAATCATAACAAACTACCAATTTTTACAAGTCTGACATTCAACAGTACTCCATATTTTGAGAGGGTTTCCCAAAAYGAACRCAASATTTAAATTTGCCWTCATTTCAATTAAATTATATAAATGTTTACACATACCTTCAGCGGATTTATTATCAATTCAGCTGGCTCCTTATGCGTGCGAAATACAGCGCGATCTTCTAGCACGTCCTCATCCCGCCAATGGGATGGCGTGCCCGCGTGCGCACCGCGTGTATCATAGCTAGAAAAACGAAAATTTATTAAAATATATTGCACTTAAAAAATCTAGAAACATCTTGATGCTTCTGGAACAATAATAGCTGGTAGACTTATTTGAAAAGTTTAAATGTTAATAATCTGGACTGCCATTTAATTTTTTCGAAAATCCGAAATTTATGCACATATACTGTCACTAATTGCCAAAATAATCAGCAGGCAGCCAMCTTGCCCCAATTGGTTTTTCTCGCTTATTCAATTTTCGGAGCTCTTCAGTTTTCATTAAACACCTTTATTGTTAATGAATTAAAATTATCCYCAACGATTTACCCGCCTTACTAGTAAGTCCGTATGTGGTTTAAAAACACAAAATAAAGTAAAACAATATTGCATAAATTAAGAGTGGAGTAAAYATTTATTTACTCACCTATAAATTGGAAGATTATTCTTATACCAAACGACCAGTAAAACTTTATCGTCTGGCAAACTGGAACCGACATCACACTTAATTTGCGCTGAAGTGTTGACCAGCACACGGAGGATCTCGCCATCTGCGAATGAAGAGAGCAAAACGGTTAGTGGAAGTTAATATGCGCACATAAATATATATTTTTAAATTTAATGAAAGTGTTTAATACTATTCATTTGTACATATTGGAACAATAAGCTACGCTGTGCTCAAGTCACTGAGCAGCTGAAGTACATTTTATTTTTTTATTGGTGCAAAACCTCTCATAAACAGATATTTTTCCTTTTTGCTGCACCGATCAAATCTAATATGCTATAGTTTTTCAAATTGATACCAGAAATTTATAGACATAACAAAGATCAAGAAATTTTATAACAACATCAACAACTCRATCTTCTTTTTTTCTTGCTGTAATAAGAGCAAGTAACTCTCAAATAAGATAAAAATAATTAAAATAAAACTACACTATATAGTCATCTCTTGCGGTCAGCCAATGCAGTTATTTACGTTAAACTGATAATTAGAGCAAGGCTGAATTATCCGGAAAAACTGATTGGATCACATATCCACCAATCAATTTTAATACTCTATTTATATAATATAAGTAAATTATCAGAATSAACAAAATTCTTCCCAAAGAAATTGCTCACTCACCTTTATAGTTGCACTACAAATTTTCACATATTAGCTTACCCCTTCGGACTGCATTTAGTATCTTTCAATTCCATTAATTATCGCCATTAAAAACAAATTTTCCCCAACATTTTTTTTTTTTTCGTCTCCACAGTTATTTTCGAGATTATTTTTACGCCACTAATATGCTTAAGGCACCCGTCTCCCCAACGCCCGCTAGCCACCCACACCGCCGCTACTTCTAGCTACATGCCTGCTGTCATTCTATTAAGCCAGCAAGATAGGCAGTCAAGCAAGCAATTTTCGAGCTGGCATTCGAGTGGCATAATGTCAGTGGCGTTGCCGCCGCATCAACGCTAATGCACGACGAAGACAAACGGGGCAGGGAGAGAAAGCCAAATTAAACTTAGCGCATAATAAATACGAGTGCCCAACAACAAATTGTCGTACGAAAGAGTAAAGAAAATAATCATCGTTCATAAAAAGTGAGTGGAATAGAGAATAACACGAATATAATTAATTAGCTCTAAGTGTCAAAATGAGCAAATAAATGGCATGGCAGAGAACGCAACAGCAAAACAAAGAAAATAGAATATAAAGTAAGAAAAAAATTGCTGTGAGAATAGACGTCAATTACTAGACGACGTTGACGGCAGCCTTGGCGCTTGCCATCACCCACTAACCCCCAAGACCGCTCTTACTCCACCCCCCGTCACTGCTTTGTTTGCTTTGAGTCGTTGAGTAGTTAAGCAGCGCATTTAATACCGAGTCATGGCAAACATTTTACCCCGCTGCCGCCAACATCCGCACTCACACGCTCTTTCACCTCGCCTGCTCAGTACACGTGCACGGCCGAATAAACTCAATTATTATATTAGACAGCTAAGCAAAATGTTGAAGCGCTTAAGCGCGCCTCACGAGAGGCAMTATTTTGTTGAATGCGCGCGAAATTGCCGTGGCCGTGAAGTGGCGGACGCGTCCGTCGCTTTCACAGCACATTTAAAAGAGTCGTGTGTGTGTTTCGCAGGTGATTGGTATTAATTTGCCTGACATTWACTTAGTTTTTTAAAACTTTTATGAAATGCTCAAAGTTTTTCTGTACTAGTCAACTTGTTTGAAAATATTTTGRTTAAGCGCGCCATTTCATTAATATATATGTATGTTTGGGGTTTGCAAAAGTTTTGACAAAATTTAAGATGAAGAAAGCAAAGTTGTTAAAGGGATGTGTAGGTGAAAGCTGTGTAAAGTTTACATTTATTGTTAAGAGAAGTTGTGGAGAAATGTATGACTATTTTATTGCTGTTGATATGAAGACTTCTGGGGTATTTGAGAAAAAGTTTTTGAAATTGATAACAAAAAATTTAAAACTGTGAAGTGCTCGATTAATGTCCACTCTTGATAGCGTACGTCAATTATGCCAAAGAAATATCGGCTACAAATACGATGGAAAAGAGCAATACATTTAAATTTAGAACCTCTAGGCCACAAGTGTTCTATCAAGTAGATGCCGATCCATTTTGAGGTTGCCTACTTATTAARGGCAAAATACAGAAACTTTAAATTTACTGAGGAATGTTAACTCTCATTCGAAAGACAATTTTTGGCCCATTCGTTGAGTTCATTCAAGCATTTCAACTGATAACTGGGGAATGACGTGTGTGGAATGCTTGATGTTTTCCTCCAAGGCCTGAGTTGAAGTGGGATTGTCCGCACAGACTTTAGACTTTACATATCCTTCCAGCAAAAATTCTAACGGTGAGATATTACAAGATGTTTGTGGCCAGGACAAAACGGGAAATTAACTGCTCTGCGAAGTGTTCTATCTATAAATCCATTGAGTGATGCGATGTGTGGAAATCAAATGTTGCCGCGATCAGGACCTTCAACTTCAGATAACAAGCTGTATTTTGTACGCTTTCAATTGGGGAAAATGTGCCAAGTCGTTCCGTCAGTCCAAATTGCGGCGAACAGCGTTTACTATTTTTTCCGCACGTGGATTTTTCTCCTGTGTACCCACAATCAGAGGAAAAACTCGTTTATATATATAAAAATAGAGAACGCAATGTTGCAACTGGCAGTTGTGCTGTAAGCTGTTGACCCAACTCTGCTTCCAACTTGCCAAGCATCGCTGCCACAGCGCAGCTATTTGGATAAGCCATAACACAGATTTGCTGAAGCGCGCAAACCGAAATTCTGCCAACATTTTGCGAGCTGTCGTTATTTGCCTATAAATGTGTGCGCATGCAAAGAGGCTGCACAGGTGAGCTGCATTTCGTAAACAACACACTTTATTCACAGAACTCTCTGCCACACCGCACTCCGCACCTGCCGTACTTGCCGCCTTACAGTAAACTGCTATTGTTTCTGGTGGCAATAAAGCAGCGCAGAATCTATTTATCGTCGGCCAATGTGTTGCACTGGAAAGGTGCAATGCTTGCCAAGCTAAAACCAAAGCTCAGTGTATCAACCATGCACACGAGGTGCAACAACAAACACAGCTATTATTGTTTTGTTGCACGTTTCATCCATTCATTTTGCTACTGCAATCGCTAATGTCAATGCCAGAGTGTTGTGCCGCAATTGATGTTGCATTGTCTTCTCCATGCTCTACTTTGCACACATGCTGCATATACACAAGCACTAACATATCTGCCTGCATTGCCATGAGTGTATGCAGCAACGTATACACAGTGCTGCTCGCCATCATAAATCAGCATTAAGTGCAAAGGAAGCTCAGCTCAATTTTAATGAAAAAAATCACTTTGCCTGGCATTAAGTCGTAATTCTAAATTGATTTCGTAATTAATCTGCTTGCTTGCTGGTGGACAGGTGTGATTATTGTATAAGCAACAGTGTCTGTATTTATTTAAAACAAATTAAAGCGTAATTTTGAAAGAGTTCGGGCCATCAAATGGTTTCATAAACAAAAGCCAAGGTGATGGTCAGATTAAGACTCAGAAGCAGGGGCTGAGGTCTGTAGCCGGCACGAGTCTTATGAATGCAATCAACTGCACAATTTGTAGGGAGTAGCTGCCTTGTAAAGATAACTAGTAAAATAGTGGTTGCGCTTAAGGAAATTCAATAAATGAAAGCATGCAGCATTTGCTGAGGTTCAAACAATTTTCAAATCACAAGAGGAAGCTATATAATATGAGCATGACGCCTGTCTATTGATGTTAAAAATGCCACAAATTCGCTTTTAATAATTTTTAATTACAATTAATTTGATGCTGACAGTGCGAAGAATATATATCGTTTGCCTCTTCTTTTTTTTACTGGGGTAGGCACCGCTTACGCGATTATAGCCAAGAATGTCATTYCCTATAGATCGAATTAGTAGATATATAGCTAAACCTCATTGTTCCTGAGCCTGAGTTCGATAACAAAAGCAGTCATTTCTTCTGAAACCATTTTAGTATATCTATTTTGTATCTAAAGTTATAACATGACAATTAAAAGGTCACTGGCGTACCATTTTTTGGATTTTATTTTTTTTTTTTTTATTCAATATCGTTCACCTAAAGGGCAGTACACTGGCTATAGCGACCCTTTCACTTTTGGATATCATTTTTGTAGTACGACTTGCGTCAGCTTCCGAGATCACCTCTTCATCACTTGACGAAAACTTCTACCAAGCAAGCATTATTTTGAGATCTGATAACCGAAAATAGTCGCTGGGAGCCAGCTTTGGAGAATAAGGTTTAAATTGAAACACTTCGAAGCCCAATCCATAAATTTTTTCAGTACTTCTTTTTCTTCAAATGCCTTCAAATTATCCAATGACGCAGATAGTCATTTCTATTTAAAAGTAGTCAATAAAAATTATTTCATGCCCATCTTTTCACTCTTCGAAGCGGATTCATCGTGTGTAGCTGACTCAGATGAYTGTCGATTGGACTTCGGAGTGAAGTGATGGAGAAGTCAGATTTATTACGCTTGAATATCTCCAAAAACTACTCTGAATCATCAACTCGTCGTTGTTTTTGGTCAAAAGTGAGCACRCGCAGCKCTCACTTTGCACAGAGTTTTCTCATGCCCAAATAATGATATRGTGTACACGTTCAGTTGATATTTTTAGAGTACTTGCTATCTCCACCAACTTCACTTTTYGGTGATCCAAAATTATTTGGGGAAGTTTCTTAATTATTATGTTGGCAAAGACCTGTTTTCTGGAGTAGTGTCCGAAAACTCGTCATAAATCAACATTTCTGCTTTAACTGTAACTTTTCGCTTCAAAACGCAATATTTTATCAACACGCGAAATTCCTTTTTATCCATTTTTTCACAATAACAACACATATACTATATAGTTTATTCTAGTAGCGCTATCTACGTATATCTTAGGTCTGGGACTTTTCCGACCTGTGATTTCGAATGCAACTAAATGCCTGAAGACATTCCCAATTTTTCTGTAAAAGGGAGTTTTGCTTTAGAAGAACAAAATAAATT